GCTATATGATATAGTCGTCCGATCCGGCCCGTTCCGACATATATAGCAGTGAGAGCATATAGAAGACTATATGCAAAGTTTCATTCGGATAGCTTTAAAACTGAGGGACTAGTTTGCGTAGAAACAGACAGACAGACAGACAGACAGACGGACAGACGGACAGACGGACAGACAGACAGACGGACAGACGGACAGACGGACATGGCTAGATCGACTCGGCTGTTGATGCTGATCAAGAATATATATACTTTATAGGGTCGGAAACGTCTCCTTCACTGCGTTGCAAACTTCTGACTGAAATTATAATACCCTGCAAGGGTATAAAAAGGAGTTTGGCGGTTCAACAGAGACCAAACTGCTCTATTATACTTTTATGTAGAATTAAGGATTATAATTAAAAGTAAGGCTTAAATATGAATATGGAGTAGTTTTTTTTCTGGGAAGGAGGAAGGAATCGATGGCGTGAGGTGATTGTGTGAAACATGATAGGGGCAGCTGCATACATGATTTCTGCCAGCAGCCTGCAAAGGACGGGAGGGCAAGGCAGGTGAGCTCCACTACATCCCGGAGTCTCAAGAGTCTGACCGTTTAGAAGGTATGCGTCGTTAAAAAAGTGTTTCGTCCAGTTTCGAACTAGTGCAAGTGTTAGTGTTGTGCAATGTCTCGTCTTCGTCTAGGGCGGGATGTTCAAAAATAAATTATATCTGTTACGTGTGTCAGTGGGCCGGGCCAAGAACCGATGCCTGAGAGGGAGCTAGCCGAGGCATGGCCCAAGCCGATGGCTGCACACGCAGGACCTTGATAGGGTAATAACAAATTATATAAAAATTAAAACAACATTAAATTAAAAACAAAATAAAAATAACGCGGACTAAAAATACATACAGATTCGTCGGCTTCTTCTCCTGTCTTAGTTTCTTTCACGTTTCTTTGTCTTTGATCCGCGATCTCTGAAAATTCGAATTCGTTCAAAACAACTCGAATCATTCGAATGTAACACGCATTACCAAATTTGTTGTTTCTTTTTTCGCGACATTCGTTCTCTTTCATTTCGTTAAACGTCCCAAGCTATGAAGCAAAACGAGAACGCATACCTGATACAATGTCGTTTCATTTCTTGCATTCCACTCATTCCATTCCATTTCATTCGAATGCACTCAATGAAGCGTATGTTGTGAGTGGTTTCATGCAGACGTCTAGTCGGGGCCCGACTATTACACCACTTTACCAAAATACCTTACTTAACCTCCTATCCGATCCAGGTGATGATCCTTGGTTGGTTCCTTACCGCTGCTCCTCCAGAGTACTTGGCCGATCGCCGGCCGAAATTAAATGAGATTCCAAGGGCTGGAGCTCGTCTTATATAGGGCCCTAGCGAGGTTAAGTGTGACCAACGCCTGGGAGGAATTTTCCATTTGGTGTGTCCAGATTAGGGTTGTCGAAATATTTAAAAATATCGTATCGATGATATTTTTTATTGAAACAAAATATCAAAATGATATTTGATATATCAGAAAAAAAATATAGATATATCAAATATTTTTGATATTTTAGTTTTATTATATTTTTTTAATTTCAAGCTGCATAAGAAATAACCACTAAACATTAACCCACATACGATCTTAAATTATATTGTATTTTTAATTTATATTTATTAATAAATGAAAGAAAACAATATTTTTTATACTTTCTTTTGCTTTTATTTATATTAAAATCAAATCAGAACAAAAATTTATCTTATATGAAAGATAACCAAAACATGCTTAAATAATAATAAAGCAAACATTTTCATTATACGCTTTCAGGGTATTATAATTAAGGAGACCTTTCCGACCCTATAAAGTATATATATTCTTGATCAGCATCAACAGCCGAGTCGATCTAGCCATGTCCATCTGTCCGTCCGTCCGTCTAGTCCCTCAGTTTTAAAGCTATCGAAATGAAACTCTGCATACCGTCGGAACGGGTCGGATCGGACGACTATATCATATAGCTGCCATACAAATATTCGATAAATTTAAAAAAAATTCTTGACTTGACTTGTTTTCAACATTTTTGTATCATTTTTGAGATGGCCATTTTATAATATTACAGAATTTTCGTATAAGTTTTATGAAAATCGGACAACTATATCTTATAGCTGTCATAGGAACGATCGGGAAATTAATAGAAAATAAATTATAACTTATTTGTTTTTCATCGTATTTTCATCTACTCTGAGATATAGGATTATTTTATTATTTCATAATTTTGGTATAAATTTTATGAAAATCGGACCACTATATCATATAGCTGCCATAGAAACGATCGGTAGACGTAGAGAAAATGTAAAGCTGAGAATGCAAAACTGTAACTGTCAAACTTTAAACATACTAAGTATAGGTACAATGTAATGAACTAATATCTGCAAGGGTATACAAACTTCGGCGTGCCGAAGTTAGCTTGTCGTCCGATTTTCAAAAAATTAAAACCGAAATTCTGAAATAATATAAAATGGCAATATCTCAAAAATTATGCAAAAATGTTGAAAAACAGCTAATTTATAATTTTTTTCTAATAATTTATCTAACATCCGGCCCGTTCCGACATACATATATAGCAGTGAGAGTATATAGAAGACTATATGCAAAGTTCCATTCAGATAGCTTTAAAACTGAGGGACTAGTTTGCGTAGAAACAGACAGACGGACGGACGGACGGACATGACTAGATCGACTCGGCTGCTGATGCTGATCAAGAATATATATACTTTATAGGGTCGGAAACGTCTCCTTTACTGCGTTGCAAACTTCTGACTGAAATTATAATACCCTGCAAGGGTATAAAAATATGGTTCCAATAAATAGGGAGTTTCGACAATGGAGGGATGTAGGAAAATTTAATGAAACACACAGGAATTCAACATCGTTTCACTCCTCGGAAGCTATTAATTCGGACGTGAGAGTGAAGTCAACCGCTATGAAAATACCTCCCCTACGTGTGATAGGCTGATTTAGCCGGTATACTGTGAACACAGCTGGAAAAACTTCGGAGCTCAGAATCTCCAGCTTTAACCAGGTTTCTGTGAACACAATAAGACTGGTCTGGTGAATGGGAGGTGGTTAGTTTTTTTTTGGTAAGAAGTTGAGGAGGTAGAGGGTGCAGTAGCCACTGGCCGTTTTTTCTTTTTACTAGGCTCGTTCTCCTTGACCACATCATACTCTGGTCAAAATTGGTCAGATCATACCATGTTAAAGAGTTCGTTAGGGACATTTATTTTAAAGGATGAAAAATCTATAGCATAGGACACCTGGACAATTTTAATTTTTCACCCTATCTATTAATTTTTCGGCTCTGGCTTTGCTTTGAATATAGGCGATAACATCTTAAATGTTTGAGCTGGGGAGAGACACGAAACATATATCTGCTCGCGACATGTTATCGCTCAGCTAACAACCCATGGTGAGATCGAATAAGAAATAGCCTTCTTACAGGTTTAAAGAAAACAGACCATTTCTGAGGTCAGTTTATCGACGTAGCACTGTACCTTTTACGTTTGAAAGAGGGAGCGGCAGAACAATGGAGCAGAAAAGCGTGGGATCAAGCTAAATTAGGACCGTTCATACATAGATGTCGCGACAGCGCAAACAAAAGCAAACACAAAGGAAATTCAACAAAAAAAATTCAAAGCAACCGCAGAACCCAAAACTAAAATGTAAATTTAAATTGAATTAAAACAGAAAAGCTATTAAAATCATTGAATAGAAAATATAAATAAGTCCCAGTGCTTTTTCAAGCAAATTATACACATATCGAGAGCGCCAGGAAAAAACACGTCTGTTCGCTTGGAAGGAAGTATGCCCAAATGTCTACATATGTATGTATGTACATATATGTTATCTGAATTTAAGCCCAGTACTCTGACGTTGAAAATCCACTGTAACACGTGTTATAGCGGCCAAACTCCATATAAAAAAACGGTGTGAAAAAAGGAAGAAGAAATTTGTGCCTAGTCGATTTTGCCGGTACTCTGACGACGAAAATTATGCCTGCGAAAATTTAATGGCGTTGCCAGATCAAGAGTGTAAACAGCTGATATCGTGCTATAACAATAATTCATTTCATTTATTCTTACACCCCTAATGGAGGGAAAGTTGAATGAAAATAGTGGCATTGATAGAAGCTGTCAAAGCGAAGCCCAGAATGTGGAATTTAACCCACAAAGGACATTTTAATGCCATATTTATTAATATTTTAAATATATTTTTGGAAAATTTGTTTACAACCAGCTGTCTAGTGTGCCCAAAGAAAAGCCTTAAACGTCATAAAAGGTACATTTTCATGGCGTTTTATGGCTTTTCCTTAATTTTTTTTGGTTACACTGGTTACCGAGCCAAATATTCAGCGATTCTGCTATAACACATGTTACAGCGGACTTTCGTCGTCAGTGTACTAGGCTTTATCTGAAAACAGATAACCCAATCGACCAAATGCCTCTTCCATAGCCCCGATAATTGATTCCGATGGTGCGGACTTTAAAATGGATAATTTCATGTATCTTGAAAAATAATCAATAAATACAATCTTTGCATGATTTCACAAAGTTCTCCGTAGCCACAACAACTTTCACTTGGCTTTTTGGGATAATTAGCCGTGTTCCCCTCAACAAAATTTTCCCTGGCGGGCGAGCATTGATAAGCTCGACGGTCAGAGCGTGTGTGAGATCTAGAACACGGGAGCGCAAGAGCGACCAACAATTTGGAATTTTAATTTACCGGTCGTTCGTTTGGCAGCTATATAATATAGTTGTCCGATAAAAAAAATGTTAAGCAGAATTCTAAATAAATGGGCATGCCTTAAAGTAAATGAAAATGTTAAAAACCTGCATGCCTAGATCGACTCGGCTGTTAATGCTTATTAAGAATACATTCACTGCGTTGCAAACTTCTAACTAAAATTTTAATATCATGCGTGGGTATTATAAATATTTTGTCAGTTGAACATCATAAATAAATACCACAGTTTGTGACAGATTTTATTAGCACGAAATTAAAATTATTTAAATGACGAATAATTGAATATTCTCTAAAATTTTTAGCTAAAATAAGAGAAAATACACCGAAGGATGGTGGTAGTGACCCACAAAATCTATTAAAAATAATAATAATAAATTATTAATAAAATAATGTAGAAGTGAGCGTTTTGATAATATTCACGGTAGCTTTGTAGCTTTGTCGTCTTCGAAAACAATTTGTCTTTGTTATATATGCTCACGTATTAGTGATGAATGCTCAAATGTTTTTCTAAAATGGCAAGACAATTTGTCGGAACGAGAATTTTCCGATTTGCTTACACTGAATTTAAAATGGAACTAATGGAACCAAGGAGTTTATAATTCTAAAAACATCTCAAATGACTTCTTTTATCAATTAAATATGCTGTAGATTTCATTCAATAAAAGTATATTATTGCATATAAACCCTTATCTTGTAAATATTAAAGTTTTTAGAATGTTTGAATTATTCTAATGCTTATGTCCAAAAGTAATTATTAAGGGTAGCAAAGCACCACAAATCATTATGACTAGTTCGCTATAATTTAATGCTTGTATACTGTTGCTACCATTATTTTCACTCGTGGGAATGTCTCGTGGGGATTCTTCTAATAAACGATAATCATGCTGGCGAGGTCCTCCACCACCTTGCGTGAGCTCAGGCAGGACATGCACAGTGGCCACGTACAAAAATGTACCAGCTGAAAAAAGCATGGCAATGCCCGTTGCATTGACTGAATTTAACGTCTCCTTTTGCTCTTGGCCAATACAAAAAAATGTTAAAATAGCAAGCAGTGGCGCCGATAAGGAAAAAATTGCGAGATGTCGGCGAATCTTCTGTCGATCAACTTTTTCGTGTAACAGAAAAGTTACCAGGCCAAAGGCTGCAGGTGCCTTGTGAAGCATTATGGCTAAAAATACAATTATTTCCACATCTTGATGGCTGGTCGTTGCAGCGGCACCCAAAGCAATACCATCAGCTAGAAGTTAGTAAATAGAATATTAAGAATTTATTAATGTAAAAGAAATATTAAAAAAAAAATTAAATCACATAACTAAGCAACAATTAAATTTCGTACCTGCCGCATGAACCACCAGTCCTAATGTTAATGTAGTAGCACCATTTTTAGTTTCACTTCCAATATTACTCCGTCGCTGTGATACATCCACTAGCATCATAAAGACAAAACCAAGCACTAGGGAAAGGCCAATTTTTTGTGAGTAGTCTTGATGTTCGGCGGCGCCCATGGTATATAATGATCGGATACCTTCCGGTATAATAACGGTTAGAGCAGTGCCCACCAACAGGCCAGCACCAAGGATGGTGACAGACTTCAACTTTTCCTTTAAATCAACAGAAGTACGTTTATGTTTATTTTGTTTCCAATGCACTGATACAAACCTCACTTAATTTCATTAACATGGGTATACTTCCAGCCAGATAGGAACCAACAAGCATAACTATTACTAATAATATTAAGATTATTGTCTCTTGTGCCATGATGATAGTAGTTTGTAGTCGTTTTAGGCCATAAATACAAAACGTTTGTATTATTTGCCAGCTCAATTAAAAATGAGTGATGTACATGTGTAGCATAGGAGTCGATATTAGAGGTGCAAAAACATCGATGTTTTTTCGATGTATCGTTGTCACATCGACAATGTTTCTATAAAGCCTAGTACTCTGACGAGAAAAACCCGCTGTCTAAATTAGACAGCGGAATCGCTGTTTATTTCGCTACCGAGCTAGGGTGACCAAAAAAATTAAGGAAATTCCATGAAAATGTACTTTTTATGGCGTTTAAGGATTTTCCTTGGTCACACTGGACAGCTGTTTGTAAACAAATATTCAAAAAAAATATTAAAAATATTAATAAATATGGCATTAAAATGTCCTTTGTGGGTTAAATTCCATATTATGGGCTTCCCCTTGACAGCCCCTATCAATGTCACCTTTTTCCTTCAACTTTCCCTCCATGAGGGGTGTCTAAATAAATCAAATGAATTATTTAGACAGCGCGATATCAGCTGTTTACTATCTTGATCTGGCAACGCCATTCAATTTTCGCAGGCTTCATTTTCGTCGTCAGAGTACTAGGCTTTAAGAAAAACGGGGAAAAATAGTTTACCTATCGTCATGATTTTTGCTTTAAATAATAGATAGATTCATAAACTGTAATCCAACCCAAAAAACGGGAATTGGGTTTGGGCTTCACAGGTAAATTTAAAATTTTTTTTTTTTTTTCAGTTTTCAAATTATTTTTATTTGAGCAAATACATATAAATAAAAACTGTGGGCACGGCACATTTTCCAATGTATATGTAAATTTTACAACAATTGGCTGTCTAATGGCTTTTAAATTATTTTATCTTATTTGGTTTAAAAGTTATGATTATTGCAACATAAAATCAGAATAGGTGCTACTGTGCGACGTCTGTCTTCAGACGGGTACGGCGATCAGATACGATTTGTCCTGCTTAGCTAAAAGCCCGCTCCGACATGCAGGACGTTGCAGGCATACATATATGTATATTTTTTAACCACTTTTTTAACTAGTCTATAATCTTTGAACACTCATTTTCAAATTTTAAATAATACTACTAAATTAGTAAAGAATTTTATATTTACCTTCGACGAAGCACAATCATTTCATGTGACTTCAACTGCCTTGTTTATCAACCACAAGAAATGTGTTCTACAATAAATAAAAAATTCTGGGTATTCCCTTGATGGATGCGTTCAGCAGAACAACTGAAGAAAGATCAGTGATCACTGATTAGTGATAGTGAACGCTTGTGATACATTACGACATCGTTCCAATCTGTTTGGAATATATCTTTATATATTTGAACTTCCCTCCAACAATCAACTGCAATTTTTATAGAACAACTAAAATGAACATGTGTAATAATAATAAATTTGTTTGCATATTTGTTACTAAATTTCTGCAACAAAGCATCGCGTTCTGGGGTAATGTCAATGATATTAAAAATGCGCAGCAAGTAGAGGTGGAGAAACATCGATGCGAACATCGATGACATCGATGTTTTCGAAACATCGGAAACATCGATGCTTAGCGGGGCAACATCGATGTTTTTTCATTTATTTATTGTATTAATTATATTTTAGATTACTACAGATGGCGACTCCTTTAAAACGTTTGCTAAAAAATACTTCTGCGTTCTCGCATCTTCGCACGAATCTGAAAGAGTTTTCAGTAAAGCTTCACAACTTATAAGTGAGCTTCGCACGCGGCTCCTCTTCCTTAAACAAAAACAAACATGGAAAAATATGTAAATATATATACTAGAGTTCGGGATAGCAATATCCTAAAAAACTATTATTTTCTTTGGACCATGTATATATTGAAACATTGATATTAAATTTGTTTTTGTTTTTAGTTTTTATTTACAAACTAAGAAAAAGAAACTATATACCAAAGAAGTGGAACATGAATATCATGAAGTTTTATTTTAATTAGTTTTTTGTTTTTTTTCATTTAACAAGTGATTAAAAAAATTGAATTTTTGTTGAAAATTTGTCTTTTATTTTTTTAATATTACAAATTATAATAAAGTTCATATACACTAATATAACTGCTAATTTTTTTTATTTAAAACATCGATGTTTCATCGATGTTTTTCGCCAAAAACATCGAAAACATCGATGTCCCCGAACATCGATGTTTCTCCACCTCTAACAGCAATGGTGGCTCAAAAAGGGAAAAAATCGATACCTTGATAGAACAATCGATAGTTTCCCAGCTCTACTTCTGTCGACGTCGGCAGAGAAATTGACGAACAAATTGAGCCTCTATATACATACATATGTAGTTACTCGATCTGTGCGTAAAACAAAACGTTGATTTTTAGAACCTTTATCGTGTGTAAGATTAATTAATTAAGAAGTGTTAATAATAATGTTAACCCTAAATGTGTTGATAGTCTTGAATTCTTAAAAAGAGTTTTTACCGATGACATCATGTGTTGGATATGTTGGACATTAAGAACAAATACATAAATATACATAAATGCATATACATGTGTGTACATGTGTGTACATATGTAAATACATATGTATTTATGTAGTTCGTGCAGGAAAGTTGTATTGAAAAGTCCGAGGAACAGAAACGAAAATGTGTTTAGTACTTGCATTAATGTTTAATAAATAAGATCAATTGTGTATGTATACATGGATTTATATGTATCTAATTTGTTTTGTTACCATTTTTCAGGTCTCTTTGACTAAACAATCATGACACTTGGCGAGGTTCCGAAAACCAGTGAAAAATACAGTACTCAAGAAATGAATAACGGAACCCATGTAAACGACAAAATGAATGGCAACATAAAGCAGGTAAATGTATACACATTCATTAATTAAATATAATTCGGTGTATGTGAGTATTTGTGTGCGGCGGGCGTTTTCTGTAAGTGTATTATTAGAAATGGATTTAATTGATAATGTGTACTGCGAAGATTTACTTATGATAAACAGGGCATTCATGTGTCCATATATGTATATATATATATATCTATGTGTAAATACTTTTAAGTGGTGTTTTAAATTTCGTTATTACGTCATCGATTATTATGTATGTATACTTCTATGCATTCATACATATACGAAAATTTTAAATCCAAATTTTCATAATACAACCGTTCTATAGCCAATGTATGTATGTTCATATTATTTTTAGACGAATTCCTTTTTGTACTGCCCGCCAATTGAAGTCTGAGTTCTTCTGTGATGTTAGCAAAAAACAAGAGTCACAAAACACGAGAACCAGCCCTTCGTAATCTGGCAATTTGGTCCAAAATAAGACAGTCTTCTTCTGTAGTAACTAACACCATCGGATTGCGATTGTGTTTAGAAGCTGTTTTTTGATTTTAGGATTTATAAGTGCGAAATTCTTCGGCTTCCATTGTTGGGCTGAATCCCTGACCAAAAATCTCGCGATCAATCAAAACATCATATTTTATGTAGGTATTATCCAAAACGATATACCACTTAAATATTTTTGGGATACTGTGATTTCGCTTTCTTTAAAATTTGCCTGTCACACCTTCCATCACTGAGAAACATTCAGCTCCGGAGTCGAAGTAGAATTTAACAAACTCACCGGATAGATTTATTATTTTCTTTAGCGAGACCACTGTGCTAAGTCGACACGCTTCAGGTAGGTCTTATTGTTGCCACCGTTCCTGATTTCAATGCACTAAGATAGATGCACGCGTTAGTTGTAGGCGGCCCCACTTCTGATGTCGGCGGAAGCTATATTTTTTTCGAACATCTTCGATCATCATTCAGTAACAGACTGTGCTCTGTCCTTGTTCTTTTATCATATTCAACTCCTATTGCGCCGCATCGTAGCGCCTTTTCTCATTTAGCGTTGCAAAAATCATATCTTTTGAACGAAATAAGGTAATCGAATAATTTAAACGGCATTGGACAGGTAATTTTTGTAAAATATATATGTACTGCCTTTTTAAACGGTATTAAAGTGAAAAACTATTTTTTTCAATGAAAACAATTTAAAAAAAAAATGTATTTAAGTTGTTATCTTTATTTTAATGTATTTGCTCAAATAAAAATAATTTGAAAACTGAAAAAAAGTTTTTTTTTAATTCAAAGTGTAACCGTCATGCGCTACAGTTAGTATATTTTTTGGAATGTATAAAATTGTGTCGGTATTTTGGTATATTTAACCCTAAGTAGATTTGGTTTATGTCGTTGCATTTCGCAGACGCAGCTCGACGCAGCCGATGAAAGTTAATTCTGGTCCAGGAAAGATCAACGTAACTTATAGACATAGTGTAGTCGGTGGCTTTCATCGGCTTCAGAAGTTATAGACTACTTTAGGCAGAAAAAGGTGAACAAATTGACACCTGTTCAAGTCCAAACCAAAGTGCCGTTTTTTAGGTTCACTAACAGTTTATGAATGTATACTAGACATCTGCATGAATGGCAAAAAAATCGCATTCAAATGCACAAAGCTCAAAATGAATTGAGTGAATATTGTTCGGCTGGGGGGGAATTTCTTCCTTCACTTCCGTAGGATAAGCACTATTAAAAACACTCCCGCGCCGCAGTCGTGGAAAACCAAAGAAAAATCACCACCAAGGAAAAGAAGTAGTAGGCCGGGGGGGCGTGGTAATTTCAATGTAAAATAGTATGGACTTGGTCCGCTTTATTAGAGTTCATAAAAGTAATTAAATGTACAAGCGGGAGTGGGAAATCAAACAACTAGGAGAGCGGGAGCGGCCGCTCAGCGATGCGACGATCGGCCAGAGCCGAAGCATCCGCTAGAAGAGCGAGAGCAAGCGGAGGAGCTTTGGACTGGAAGTCCGGAGGGAGAGGGAGAGAAAGAGAGAGCGCACTGCCTCCCGAAATTAAGCGCCTTTCTGGCGTGAACAAATATGAAGCAAATGCCAAACTGAATTGAATGAGTTGACTCGCTTACGTACGACTCAGCCGCACAAAGAAGAAACGAATGGAATGAAATGAGAACTCAGAAAACTGAAACGCTGTATTCGAATGATTCGAGTTGCAACTGTAAATAACACTACAGTACCAAATGTTTCAAAAGATAAAGGTTTGGTATACCGCCACGTTTGGCTGTTGCCTAGTCTAAATTGAAACATAAGTAATTGATATGCGTTACATTAATGTTTTTTTTTATTTAACTTATTTCTAAAAAAACAAGGCTATTAAATTCATAATTTCATGGTTTTCTCTTGAAGTAATTTCTAAATTAACAATAACAAAAATAAATTAAAATATAAATTCTCAGTTTTTTCTTAAACTAAAAAATTAAAAATTAATTAATTAAAAATTGCCAAACTTCGCTTCTGCCTCACTTTTCTACCAAGGTGTACATGCCACTTTTAATCTCCTCTTTAACATCCACCGCGCTTTGCACAACCTATATTTTTTAAACAAATTAAATTAACTCTGAAAAATATAACACAAAAAACACTTATGGACAGGTCACGTTGGTTAATACTAAACGCATGTTAATATCTACGCACGAAAAACAAACAAATTGTTATAATTATATTAAAATTAAAAGTTTATTTTAAAACAACATTAAACTAAAAACAAAATACAAATACATACAGATTCGTCGGCTTCTTTTCCCGTCTTGGGTTCTTCCATGCTTCTCTGTCTTTCACCCGCGATCTCTGAAAATTCGAATCCGTGCACAACAACTCGAATCATTCGAATGTAAGACGCATTACCAAATTTGTTGTTTCTTTTTTCGCGACATTCGTTCTCTTTCATTTCGTTAAACGTCCCAAGCTATGAAGCAAAACGAGAACGCATTCCTGATACAATGTCGTTTCATTTCTTGCATTCCACTCATTCCATTCCATTTCATTAGAATGTATTCAATGAAGCGCATGTTGTGAATGGTTTCATGCAGACCTCTACTACGTATGAATAACTATAATTCCCTTAAAAATGGTTACCTCAATTTTATATGTGTAATAACATTTATAGCACGTAAGTAATATTATGAAATATTTACTAAAAATGTATTTATAACAAGAAAAATAAAGCCGTATTTAATATATAGTAATGCAATATTTATGATATTTAGGTTTTTAAGGAATAGGCTGTCCGAGAGAGCTGTGCTTAATTTGACATTTTCTGGATAAATATTGTTCTGATACCTGAAACATTCGGTATATCCTCCAATTTCTTTATGGTAGATGCTGACATGTTATTTACTGTACCTGCTTCAGGTTATTTGTTTTAGTTAATGGCCTTTTTTGTTTTATAACCGCACTAACACCATTGACTGCACCTTTCCCATGGAAAGTAGTAGTGCAAAGTAGTTCCATTCGATTGTTTTACAACAAAAGTTAGCCGCGCGCTTTTAATTTCGTTTTGTCACAGTAGCCAATAATGTTCTGCGAAATCAATTTGTCGGCAAGTTCACGAGGCTTATTATTTTTTTTTTTTGTGGATTGAAAGTAATTTCACTAATCTCGCTTTAAAAATTGGTTGTAGGGACCGAAATAAGAGACCAACGTCTATTCAGGTTAGAGTCATTTAATGTAGTGAATCAAGTAAAGCTTAGAACTATTACAGAATAGTAATATAGAAAAAGCTCTATCACCTGCTATACATATAAGTTGTCATAAAGCTAAACATGACAATGTTCCAACAATTGGCAGCTGAACTTCTGAATAAATCGGATAGCGGAGAAACGGAATACGTCAAGTTAATTCCATTTTCAACTTTCCTCCAGTGTTGCCATTTAACGATTTCACGCAATTTCATTAAATATTTCACTGGGACAATTGATTTTAGATCTGTCTCACAACAAGTTCATTCCAAATAACTTTTAAACGTTTTGGGAAGAGTCTTAATAACTGTTGCGCAACTATTTATTAGAAAACTAAAATTGGCATGGTAGATACATTAACACATGTTGTGCGGCATTTTACCCGAGTGTTGGACATGTTTCAATTTTCGAAAAATGGTCGGCTTACGCGTTCTCCAATTTAACTTATTTTTGTAAGTTTCGATGATTATAAAGATTTATTTTTCGGTCCTTATTGACCATTTAGTGAATATGCCCATATAAAAAATAAATTTTTTTTAAATTCTTAACTATAATCAGGCCTGCTCCGGTAATCGAAAACGAAAGATTTTGTCGATTTGAAAAACGGGCACCTTTTTCTGGCCGGAATGAAAAGTAAATGCCTTTTTTTTATATGAAATCAGATCTTATTTACAAAAGGAAAAAAATAGTTTACTCAGTGGTCTATTGATGTTTATTCCACACCACCATAAGATCATTCTGGCAGGTAGTTATTTTATAAAAAAACTTATTTCTGACCCCACCTCAGATTTGACAACAAAATTTTTGCCCTGTTCAACCAGTTTTCTCGGTTTGGCGATAGGTCGATAAGTTCACCGCAAAAAGTTATCGCCAAGGTTGCCATATTGTTGGTGGAACGAAACAGCCAGTTAAAAATACTTATAAAATATAAATGAATACATTAATAACTTTAAAGGAGCGCCAAAACCAGTTTTCTCGGTTTGGCGATAGGTCGATAAGTTCACCGCAAAAAGTTATCGCCAAGGTTGCCATATTGTTGGTGGAACGAAACAGCCAGTTAAAAATACTTATAAAATATAAATGAATACATTAATAACTTTAAAGGAGCGCCAAAATGGTTATTTATAAATAATGCTATTTAATTTTATTATTTAAATGGTCCAAATTAACCAAATAATTATTTGAGACCACCGGAATTAAAACTGTGTGGCAGCATCTTAGGTGCCTAGATTTGCTTAACTCCACCATTTTTTGCCTTTTTCTGGCTTAGAAAAAGGGCAAT